ACAGAGGAAGTTAGTCTGAGAATGGAGAGATAAAGACCTGGTGGACATGGTGTCAGCCCCTGGAGCAAGTCACACCAGAAGCCAGACAACTCCGGGCCTTTGCAGTCATGAGACCCAGAAAACTCCCTGTTCGTCATGTTTTCTGTCACCTGCAAACAAGTGATTCCTGGTGGCTGCATCCTGGGCCCCAGAGGCCCAGGAAGGCTTGGGTGCTGCTCTTCAGGCCCAAAGCCCAACTTTCTTACACTCGAAACCCTAACGTCAGAATTCCAGTTGGTCCCTCCACCCTGCTGTGCTGGTTTCTCTCTCTGTAAATCTGTGATAAGAAGACACGCCACGCACCACCCACAGGGGTTGTGGACTAATTAGAGAACTTGTGAAATTCTTTGTTTTTACAAAATGTTAGCAAAAGAGCACTGCACATTAATATCGCTTACTCTTGATTTTTCTGCCTTAAAAAACACACACTTCTCAGCAAAATAAGATTTGTCTTTTCTTTATAAGAAAACGGACCAATTATCTAGATTCACTTTTTAAGGTATAAATGACTGGAGTAAAAATATCCCTCTTTGTGGTGGGTGGTGGGAGGATTCAGGGCCAAACTGGCTCTCTCGTTCTTGTTCCCTCTCTTTTCTTCCCCTATTTTCCTAAATTCCTGACTTTGTGGTTTCTGGTCCTGTAAAGAAATGCATTTGTTCAGAACACTCCAACACCAGAGAGATGTTAACTTTATTTTTTTATTTTAATGTTTTAAAAATCTGTTTTTATTGCTTTTTAGAGAAAGAGGAAGAGAGAGAGAAATAGAAACATTGATGAGAATGAAATATCGATCGGCTATCTCCACCAGGGAACAAGCCGAAAACTCAGGCATGTGCCCTGACTGGGAATCGAACTGGTGACCTCTTGGTGCCTGGGTGGTCGCTCAACCACTGAGCAACACTGGCTGGATGATATTAACTTGATTTTGTTTTAAATCTAAGTTTATCACCAACTGGTATTATTATGAGAAAATATTCTATTGATTTACTATGGGGGAAATTAATCATATGATACCAACACTGAGGAAAGAAAAGGGGGATAGAAATGTATTGGGAAGGAAGAGGAGTTAGAGAGAGAAGGGCAGAAGGGAGAAGAAGGTGATATGAACTGAGGGAAAAAAGGGGGGTGGAAATGTATTGGGAAGGAAGAGGAGATAGAGAGACAGAGAAGAAGGGCAGAAGGGAGAAGAAGGTGATATGAACTGAGAGAGAAACCCTACTTGGGTCAGCCTTTGATGATGATGTCCAGCTTTGGTTAGATAATAGAATATTGGTAGGGTTGTCAGATTTAGCAAATGAAAACACAGGACACCCAGGTGAACTTGAATTTTAGATAAATAACGAATATTTTTTTATTGTAAGTGTTGCATGACAATCCTTCAATGTAAGAATGTGGGTATTTTCCTTTTCTGGGGTCAATGGGTTACTTTGCTAGCATTCTGGAACCTGTAGGTGAAACTGACTCCACCTTATCTCCTGAGATCAAAATCATACAGAAGTTTTACTCTAAGTTCCTGAAACTTCTGGACTCTTCCTTGTTTCAACAGATGCCTTTAGTGGATTGAAATGCTTACATATTCTTTCCATCTGAGTAGTATGACTATATCTCTTTTTCTGATGAAAAATTTTCAAATACACACAAAAAAGTGGAATTCTAATGAACTTCCATTACTCTGTTTGAAGAGCGGTCAACGTTTTGCCGATGTTGTTTCATCTCTCCTCCTCCACCCTCTCTATTTTGCAGGAGTGTTTTAAAGAAAATCTCAAACTTCATGTCATCCTTAGATACTATGTGTGGTTTTTAAATTTTATATTTTCTTTCCTATCTTTAAGCATATCTAATCTGTTTAATGTTGCCAAGATCCCACTTTTTACCCATCTCTCTTTATATAAAATAATGGCCTCTCCCTTCACATGATAATATTCCTTTTTGTCTTCCTCAGAGCATCCCTGTAGTTCATGATTTCTTTTAAATCTGGTAGCCTGTTCAGGCCTCAAGGAATTGGTTGTGCATTGTGTTGAGGGGTCCTTGGTAGAAGGAAGGGTGGAGGGTGGCAGAGAGTGAGGGGGTGGAGGTTAAGGTGGGGGTGAGGGTTATTATATTTTGGCTTTCTCTGAAACTTCCTTCCTATAAGAAATACTAATCTTGTCTCTCTTACTCCTAATTTTATGTATTATGCAAGTCTGTGCTCTTTAGAGTGGCTATTGGATCCTCTGAATTAACATTTAAATATTTCTAGGATTAGGTTTGAAGATGCTGAGAACTGCATAGTAGAGGACAATGGTTCTCAAACTTTAGCGTGCACAGAATCCCCTGGAGGGCTTGCTAGCACACAGATCCCGAGCCCCACCCCCGGAGTTTCTGATTCAGTTGGTCTGGGGTGTCCTGTGAGAATTTGCATTTTTACAAGTTCCCAGAGGATGAGTAGCTGATTATCCAGAGAGAACATTGAGAACCACTGGTATAGTAAAAACTGTTTGGTTATAGAAACCTGTGACCTTGGGCAGGTCACTTTACCTCTCAGATTTGGTGTCCTCATCTGTGACCAACCAATGTTCATTCCTCTTCTCTCCAATAATGACTTGGTACTTTGAAGAGCAGGAACTCACCTTTCCTTCACGTTGTTCTGTCATTGGTCCATTGGGAGCGGTTTTGCCTGTATTTGCCTGTCAGAGCCCAGTTGCATCTCTAGAGCAGGGCTCTGGGTAAACAAGAATAAATGCTGAACTCAGATGATGGTACTCCAGCTCCTGAAGAGAGGAAATGAGGAGGAGACAGCTTTAGTTCCTTCATTCAGCAATTATCCATTGAGCACCTACTATGTGTCAGGCACCTAGGAACTCATTAACAATGCAGAATCTTAGGCTCCACCCTAGACCCGCTGAATCAAAACCTGCATTTAACCAGAGCCCCAGTGACTCAAGTGCACATGGAAGTCAGAGAATCACCACCACTACGCAGCCCACTGGCAATGCAGGGAACCCACCTTTCAGCTACTGTGGAGGCAGAAATATCTTTCTCTCCGGTGTCTGCGCTAACCATACCAGGGAGCACAGTCAGTCTGATAAGTCTTCATTTGAGTAAACAAATAACAAGTTAAAAAAAAAAAACTCTCCAAGTACTTGTCTTCAGGCCTAAGGAAGGGCATCTAAGGAACCGTTGTCCCCTGGGTGCTAAAATCCTTGCTGACTCGGTTATTTATCATCCGTGTGTGCTGCAGGGTCCAGGGTGATAAATTATGGAAGAGAGCTATTAGATGACAACACTCCCTCTGACATCAGGTGCTGGTGTTCGGCACATTTTGCAATCTTCACAGCAAGGAGAGAAACATGATGATGGTGCTTCTGCAAGATGCTTACTCACTGAAGCCTGTTTCTCTCCCAGGTCCTTGTTAGGCTGGTACTCTCTAAACCTTAGAGTGTGTGGTTTTAGCTGAAGCAAGGAATAGAATAAATAGAAATAGAAGATGGCTAGTACATTCGTGTTTCTCATGTACCATCTGCAATAGAATTGCTTGGTGCTGGTTAAAAATATAGATCTTTAGGCTCCACCTGGAAAATTAGGGTCTCTAAGGGTGATATTCATAAATTTTAATTTTTAACAAGCTTACCAGGCAATCCTTACATAAAGTAATTTTTGAGACTCACCATTGTATACTATCTCTTATTGTATGGTGAAGAATCAGAGAAAGACAGCAGTATAATGACTTTCTTAAAATTTCAGTGCCCCATGCATAGTCACATGTCCCATTTTCCTATAAGGTGTGGTATAGATGGTTGTCTTTTTAGGAGAGCCTTTTAGATCTATTAGTATCTAATAAAGGCAGGGCTAACTGATGCTGAGTGGCTGGATGTGAAGTAAGGTAATTAAGTGCTAAAGAAACAGTAGTTAAACTTTAAACAAATGTCTCATGTGATAGACATGAAATGACCATTTGTCACCAGGCATGCCAAACCCACAGGATTCTACTAGAATTTAAAGGGTTAAGGCAACTGGCCATGTTCCTTGAAAGATCTGACATAATGCCACGAATTGCCAGGAGGCGACAGCAGAGAGCTGCCGAACAGCCCACGGAGACCAGGGGATCCAAGGTTATCAATTAGGACAGTGGTTCTCAACCTTCCTAATGCCGCGACCCTTTAATACAGTTCCTCATGTTGTGGTGACCCCCAACCATAAAATTATTTTCGTTGCTACTTCATAACTGTAATTTTGCTACTGTTATGAATCATAATGTAAATATCTGATATGCAGGATGTATTTTCATTGTTACAAATTGAACATAATTAAAGCATAGTGATTAATCACAAAAACAATATGTAATTATATATGTGTTTTCTGATGGTCTTAGGCGACCCCCTTAGCAATTCTATTGAAGATGGTACATGAGAAACACGAATGTACTAGCCATCTTCTATTTCTATTTATTCTACTCCCAAAGGGGTCGCGACCCACAGGTTGAGAACCGCTGGATTAGGAGGATTGTTAGAATAGCAGCCGAAAGCTGGTTACCCAGAGTGTCTGCTCAGGAGACATCTAGCCCTAAACGAGGAGAGCTGGGTCCAAAACAGAGGCAGTTACCTCTCATGAAGAAAGGCAGTGCCCAGGCTAGTGGATGAAAGAGAGAAGCTGAAGTCAGAAAAGCAAGTTGGGTGAGTCAGAAGCAGGGTAAGCAGTGGGCAGCTGTGTCACAGGGGGATGGTGGGACCCTCAGGAAGCTGATGGGCTGTCAGGGATTTACAGTATTTAGTGGCCACGGCCCCAGTGAAATCAGGAAACAATACAGCCCTTGAGGAAGAACATTTCATAACCAGATCATTAAAAAACCTGGAACCTGACCCCTTATTGGAGAAGCCCTTTCTTTGGCAGTGAGATCTTCAAAGTCTTGTTGGAAAATGCACTGGTATTAAAGGAAAATAACTTAAGGAATACAAGACAAGACATGATAAAATATCGCAATTATGGTACAATCAATACTTGCTCAAGAAGCTCCAGTGAAGGGGGAGATCAATGAAGTTGGCATGGCCAAGGAAGGCTCCTTTAAAGAAGTGCAATTTGATCTGAGCCTTAATGCATTAGTACAATATAGAGAGGCAAGGAGGACACCTAATGAGCCAAGGGGAAAAGCTCCCTCTGTTTGCAGGGCTGTGAGAAGGCCCCTGGTTTGTATCAGGGTGCCTGGAGCTGGTGGAAACCCAGGGCATAAAAACAGTTGTTTGACCTTTGTTAAAATTTGTTTTGTTTGGTGGTTTCCAACATGCTGGGAAGAAATAGGATCCTGTTCCTTTAAGCAACCAGAGTGCATCATTCACTCAGAGGAAATACACATTGATGCCACCTGCAGGTGACATAGGTAGCTCACACTGGGTTTGCGAGGGAGGAGGTGCTGCCTAATTTCCTTTAGTTGGGGTGCCATGATCTTGACTCTTTAAATAGATAGGATCTGCTTAGTACCTGTCTGGATATATAAGATTGTGCCCAGAATTTTGGGAAGAGTATCAAAGATTTTATTGAGAACTAGAGGCCTGGTGCATGAATTCATGCATGGGTGGGGTCCAGCTGGCCCCACCCTGATTGGGGCTGATTGGGGCGGGCCAGCCGGGGGAAGGGGACCGCGGGAGGTTGGCTGGTCGGCCCTGCTCCCTGCAGTGCACATAATAACAACGGGTCGTTCTGGTCATTCTGGTTGCTTAGGGTTTTGTATATATATAGATTCCGGAAACCATATTCTGTTCTGAGAACCAGGTACAGTGAACTATGCACTTACACAGTAAAGGACACAAGAGATCCATCTTCCACCCACTAAACAGCTGATGATTATTTCTTACAATCGTGATCTAGATAGAAATTATGATGTAGTTGGGTAGGTGTTCTTTGTACATCCCATCTCTCCTGAAGTGCTAGCTTCTTGCTTTTTATTACTGATCACTGGTAGGTCTTTGTCTTTGCATATACACTTATTTAAAATACTACCTCCTTTTCATTCATTTTTATAGATGGCTTCATGTCTCTCTAATACACTAGCCTGTATTTGGGTTGTCGACACAGTAACTCTTGTTTCTTTGATGTAGATTGTTTCTCAACCCCACTTAGGAATATAGCTTTTTTGGTCTGAGCAACTTGAAATACAAAACACTTTCCTATCAGTAACAGTGTCCCTGGGGCAGTGATTCTCATGGGAATGTAGATGGCACTGGGGGTAAAGTAGGAAAGGACATATCACCCATCACCAGGGGAAACATCACAGAGATCCTCCTCTCCATCCCTGTGCTGATCTTAGCTAAGAGACATTGCATAATTGTAGGATCTGGGAAGCTTTGTGTATCTTGCAGTAATCACTGTTCAGTGTTCTCTATCTGCTGTTGGTTTGGGAGGGGTGTTTAAATCATTTTGGCGAATCCCTTTGATAGATCAAATCACTTCCCATTTGAGATCCAAAGAAAGCAGGTTCCTCATTGGGCATTGAATTCCTCTAAATGGCTGAGAGTTGCTAAAAGTAATGAGCAAATCTGAAATCACAGTTGAGCCCAGCTTTAGTTAAGTTCAGGCCATATTAACATGGACTAGGGTTGCCTGTATCTATCGCCGGGACTACACTGTACGTGCAGAGAGTATGCAGTTTATTTCTTATTAACCAATCTGATCCACCCTGCTACCTAATGTTTAGTTCCATGAAATAATTTTAGTCCAATCCAGTAATTTAAACAATCTCTATAAGTTTATTTTCTTTGTATAATCACTCTCTTTGTATCCCCATTCATTGTGCCTCTTCAAGGGGGTTGTGGCTTGTACGACCTTGGCTGGTGGGGATGGGATTCTTGAACTCTGTTATTCCTGGAATTACCCTGATCTCCGTGGCAGAGGGGCTGAGCTGGGCTGCTCCCGGCTTGGAGGATCCCAAGGTCAATGAGCTCCATCAGAGAGTTGTTCAGCCAATATTTGCTGCTGAACCCCAGTGGTTTGGCCTCTGTCATTGCACCAGGTTTCCATGTTAACTTGGCGCTCGCCTGGTTCTTGCTGTGCTGTGGGTACCCTGGGAGTTTGGCTGGGACTCCCTATTATGACTGCTTCTGTGAAACTCCCCAGACTGACTGACTCTCAGGGACTTAAGGGAGCTCCAGGCACCGTCCCTGGGACCAAAGGCAGTTTTGGAGCGTTTACAGAGAACTCTCCTCTATCTAATTATGAATCACTAGAGACCCAGTGCACAAAATTTGTACACTGTTAGGGTCCTTAGTGGCTGCTAGCTGCCGGCCAGGGCCTCCCTCCCTTCCTCTGGCTGGCTCCATGCCCTGGTTGAATTCTGGACGACCTCCCGGTAGAGGGGACAATTTGCATACTATGCTTTTATTATATAGGATCATCAAATTCTGTCTGAGACAGGGTGCCCTCATTGGGTATTTTCATTCCAATGTTAGAAACCACAAGCTGGACAGTTTTTCTGGAAATTTCCTTAAACCCTCCCTGATTTACCTCTGTTCTCTGGGACTCTAGGGGAGATTGAGATACATTTTCCCTTCCTCTGCCTCCTTTGTTCCTTTCACCATCCCTCAGGTTGGAAGAGAAAAACTTTGGACTTTCCTCCACATCTTCTCTTCTTTCTACCCTCGGGCAGCAAGCCTCTGCTGAGCCATCAGATGTGCAAGGAGTATCCTTGCTCAAGGTGTGGTCCGAGGACCTGCAGCATCAGCCCCACCTGTGAGCTGATTGGAGATGCAGACTCTCAGGCCTCACTTAGACCTAATGGATCAGAAGCTGCATTAACAAGACTTATGTGCACATTAAGGTTTGAGAAGCATAGGTGTAGAGGAAATGGTATGATCTAGCTTACTTACGCGTAGCCCTTAGCAAATTAATGGAAGTTAAAGAGATTTAGGAAATCCTTTTTTTTTCCTCTTGAAAAAGCTTGCTTTTATAGACCATTAAGTTGCTGCAAAATTGTATTTTGGAATTCTGAAGCTGAATATTAGCTGGGTTTTTTTGGTTTTTTTTTTTTCACTCTTGCTATAATAATCATGAACCTTCTCTAGGGAAATAGCTGTTTCTAATAGACTATGGGAAGAAGTTCAATACAGGGGAATGCAGACGAGAAAGCTACTTAACCATATTAAAATGTTATCCCATAAATATTTTGAAAAAAATAAAGAAAATAATTAGAGATGAGTAAAGCAGTTAAGTTGGTGACCATATGCTTTTTAAAAAAAATATGTTTTTATTGAGTTTTAGAGAGGGAGGAAGGGAGAGCAATAGAGAGATAGAAACATCAATGAGAGGGAAATATCATCAATTGGCTGCCTCCTGCATGCCTCCTCTTGGGGATCGAGCCCCCAGCCCAGGTCTATGCTGAGCCACACCAGCCGGCAACAGTATATCTTTTTATACTTCAGTTTTTCTAACTTTACTCTGGTACTGTGCAGTTTGTGAGTAGAAAGCAAATTTAATCGATTTGGGTCACTATCTTCATGCTTCTCACAGTGTATTTTGCCACAATACTCTAAAAAGGTGGGCTTCATAACCAATTAGTTTACAAAAATGCTGTGACCTACACATTCCTCTTGGAGACTTACAATACACATTATCATTATAAAGAACTGCCACGAAGTCCTGCCAAGAAATCCCTTTAAGATAAGCTCAGAGGAGTTTCTAAAACTCATTTGTCCCTGGAACACTGTTCCATGTAAGCAATATGCTTTAGCATAACACAAGACTTGTGTTCGCTGGGAGTATTTTAGAATATTCTAATTTAAAATATACCTCTTATATTGAATATGTAATGATTGCCTAATGTGTGGTGCTGCCCCCATACTCCCCCTGGTGGCTCACAACTGGTTCAAAGGACCCAGATTCTTTACACCCATCAGCAAGATCAAGGCCCCTCGATGCTGCAGGACACTCCAGGCAATGCCCCTTCTCCCCTTTGCCCCAGACCCGCTGCTCTGCCCTCCACGTCTGTTTTTGTATCTCGTCCTTGTTTTCTGCCTATCTAACCCACCAATTCAGTTGAGACCATGGATTGTCTGCTTGCCTCTCAATTCATTTCACCACAGATACAACCTCTTAGATCTCTTTGAAATTGAGAACAAACTGATTTATAAAGAAGCTGCCAGCTCCCACTTCACAGCCCAGCTCAGGCTCCCAGGCCAACTTCCTGAGACTCCTGCTGACGAGGAGAGTTGGACAATTACTGAAGTAAATTTCTTCTAATGAGTCCGCACTGGATGGCCTGACCACAGCTGCGAGAGGCAAATAAATGGCTTTGCAAACCCAAAAGGAGGACACATGCTCTGTAGAAGATTTCTGGTTCTTTCCTGGCATAGTCTTGTAAAAGTTTTCAAATTCTGTGTGAGGCTAGTCTTATAATTTCATATTCTTTCTGGTAACATTGTAGAGATAAAGCACATGCATATTTAGAGAGGATGGGGTCTCAGGTGATCTCTTCTTTTTTTTCTCTTTCTCACAGTGAAAGAGTCTCGTGTGTATTGTATTTGAAAACCAAGCCTCATTCTATAATTACACCTCATTCTATAATTATGCATATGGTCAATTGTGTATAGATTAGCATGAAGTGTATTCCATGGAACTAATTTTGGTAGATACGAGTCAGAAGAGAGTCCTGTAGTTAAAAAAAGCAGGGAACTGCTGGGATGGTAGTTGAAATGTTGGCGGAGTCACAATGGAATGAAAAGGAACGTTAATGGGTTGTCAAAAGGTAGTAGAGTTGCCCTAGCTGGTTTGGCTCAGTGGATAGAGCATCGGCCTGTGAACCAAAGGGTCCTGGGTTTGATTTAGGTCAAGGGCACATACCTTGGTTGCAGACTCCTCCCTGGCCTGGGCCCTGGTTGGAACTCGTGAAGGAGGCAACCAATTGATGTGTTTCTCTCATATTGATGTTTCTCTCTGTTTTTCCCTCTCTCTTCCATTCTCCCTAAAAATCAATGGAAAAATATCCTTGGGTGAGGATTAACAAACAAACAACAAAAAAAGGTAGTAGAGTTACACACCCATGCTTAAGCCGTAATCTCATATAGGTAGGATGTACTTCTCTGCTCCTTTACTAGGGTTTGGCCATGTGTCTTGCTTTGGCCAATGGGATTTTAGCAGGCCTGACTTGAGCAGAGGCTTGAAATATGCTTGTGCACCGGGCCAGTGTGGCTCAATGCTTGATCATTGGCCTATGAACCAGGAGGTCATGGTTTAATTCCTCATCAGGGCATATGCCCGGGTTTCGGGCTCAATCCCCAGTAGGGGGCATGTAGGAAGCAGCTGATCAATGATTATCTCTCATTATTGATGTTTCTATCTTTCTCTCCTTCTTCTTTCCTCTGTGAAATCAATGGAGTATGCATTTTTAAAAAAGAAATATGCCTGTGCAAGAGTTCCTCTTGGGAGCTGCTGCCCTATCAGTCTGGGTCGCAGAATGAATCCTCCAGAAGCTGACCTGAGTCCAACCCATAGCCCAAAGCGTAGTGAGCAAGGGAACATCCCCTAAAGGAGTCACTCCCACATGATGGTGTCTTTCCACATTGCCAGGTTTATTAGGGGAGACCTCTCCAATAAGCCAACAGAGTCACACGCAGGTTACACACAGAGTGGGGAGGCTTATGCCATAGAATCAGGCAGAGTGGGCATCCAGCGAAAAGTCCCACTCACTGTGGTGTCCAAAGATGGAGAGGTGAGTGTTGGTCTCAAGCCAGGCAGTGACAATGGCTGCTCATGCCCATGGAGTGGAAGTCCGGGTGGGCTCTGAGTGTGACCCGTGGTATAGACAAGCTCAAGCATTGAGTGGTCGGAGCTCGGAGTTCTTATAGCCCACAGGGGGTGAAGGTTGCACTCATAGTAGTGTCTAGATCAGCCGTGGGCAAACTATGGCCCGCGGGCCGAATCCGGCCAGTTTGAAATGAATAAAACTAAAAAAAAAAAAAGACCGTACCCTTTTATGTAATGATGTTTACTTTGAATTTATATTAGTTCACACAAACACTCCATCCATGCTTTTGTTTCGGCCCTTCGGTCCAGTTTAAGAACCCATTGTGGCCCTCGAGTCAAAAAGTTTGCCCACCCCTGGTCTAGATGGAGTCCTTCTCCAAGTGTGGTTTTGGGTGTTCTGAGCCCCTCCTAAGGGCATTCTGGTTATACCCCATTACCTCAGTCTTGATATAGCACTTGGCATAATTGTCACGACTGACAGTGATTCCATATTGGATTGTCAAGGGCGTCCAAAAAGTCTATTCTGCTCTTGCTTTATACACCAAAGCCCAGCCCAGCCAATCCTCATCCTGAAGCAGAGGTGCCCAGCTGAGCCCAGCCTAGCTCAGCCAAATTATTGTCAACCAGCAGACTTGTGTTAAATAAATGTTTGCTATAAGCCATGGGATTTGGGAGAGGAGTGGGGGTTGCCATGCAGTGCCTATGTGGCAATGGCTGCCTAATATACTGGCTTAAACAAAGTAAAATAGGTTTCTCTATTGCATTGTTTCTTAAAGACCTTAATCTTTTATGTGCATGGAAAATCTTTACTATGGCCATAGAATGAGTGGCATTTCCCACTGGACCTTTACTTTTCAGAACAATTTATGATACCAAGGCAGGTAGAGATATAACCAGTGTTGGCCTCTAGGGAAAGGATGATTAACCACCCCTTTACTCCCTACTTCCGAATGCATAGAAGTCCATCTCAATAAGACAGATTGCTAATATGATTGGTTACAGCTACATGGTTATTGGGTCATGGCGTTAGGAAGAATAGTTTTGAATGTGGAGAGGGGAAAGGTGACATTTTTAAGATTGCTCTGTGTCTCATCTTCATACACATGGCTGTTAATACATCTATAACAAATACTCATTCTTTGGGAGATGGATATAAAAGACAGTATGAAATGGGAAAAAATATACAATATGTCTGAGGCAGGGAAGATACCCAGCTGTGAGGAATGGAAATAGGAGGGTGACAATAATGTCATCTCCCTGATTATCACACCCACCAGTTCACTGAGGTATGTTTCCTTACTACGTTTTTCTAGTGCATCCTTTTCTCCTATGACAGCTGATTGGAGCTGCCGCCTCATTGGGAGGTGCCTCCTACCCTGAGAAAGCCTAGGATGGGTGACTTTGAATTATTCCGCTAGAGGTCTCAAGAAGAGATGCCCAATTTTCCTTCCAGGTGCACATGTTCTTGGGTTTCTCTCTCCTTGCCTGCTCTTGCCATTAGAGCGATGAAACCCAGATGCTAAGAGACCAAGGAGGCCATTTGCTTCTAGCCTTTGGGACAGGGGTTAGAAAGCCATTTTCTGTTTTTCCAGAACCAGACAGTAAATATTTTAGTCTTTGCAGGCCATATAATTTGTATCACAGCTACTCATTTCCATCATTGCAGTATGAAGGCAGCCATTGACAATACTCGAAGGAATGTATGTGTCTGGGTTCCAGTAAGACTTCATTTACAAAAATAGGTGATAGGCCTGGCCAGTTTTATTCAGTGGTTAGATCATCGGCCCACAGACTAAAGGGTCCCTGGTTAAATTCCAGGTTGAGGTTGGGTACCTGGGTTGCATGTTCAGTCCTCAGCTCCAGTCAGTTGCATTTGGGAAGCAGCCAATTGATGTGCCTCTCTCATAATCATCTCTCTCTCTCTCTCTCTCTCTCTCTCTCTCTCTCTCTCTCCCTTCCCCCCTACCTCCTCCTCCCTCCCTCCCACTTTCTCTAAAAATCAATGGAAAAAATATCCTCTAGTGAGGATCAATAACAATGAAAAATAGGTGGTGGGATGAATGTGGCCCATGGGCCATAGTTTGCTGACCTCTGCTTTGGGAAATGGATTCTTATAGCCAACATACCACTGTGCATTATAAAGAAAATGTCTTTTTCTGAGATTTCCCCTTGGCACATCTTGCTCACAAACTTGTGGTACAAAGTGTTGGATTTGTATATCCTGGGCTTATGTTATCTTTATTTGTATTTTTTCACAGAGAAGACCAAAAGAATAACTTGTGATGCTCTTATGAGTTAAGCTGTACTCATAATAAAATTGCCCCTGGTATGGAGAAGAAAAGATAAATATACCAGGTTTTGATTAAGCTATATAATATTTATTATTTTTAAACTCTTAAAGAAGTTTATTCTAAAAGCTTGATCTATTTTATTCTAAAAGCTTTATCTATTTTTGTATGCTACTACAGTGATGATGAAGTCTATCTATTTGTAACTCTTGCTCAAGGTTTAAGGAAAAAAAATGGAGTACCTTTCATTAGAAGAATTTCTACAGATTCTGAATTCCAAGCAACATGTCATAACATTTCTGATTTGTGACATTAGAAACTTTCTGTTTTAGGTCTTAGATCAGTTGAGTGTGACAAGACAATCTGAAGATGAATTCTAGAACTGTGTGAAAGCAAGACTCAATAACATATATAATAAAGCTTTAATAAATATTTTATTGACATAACAAAAAATAATAACTGCCTCTTATTTTGTAGATGCTTGACATTTACTTCTGAATTTCCTACAAAAGACATATTGGAGGAAAATTCAATAGCAAAATAGATCACGGAAAATTAACTATTACAACTTGATTCATTGCAGAAAGGAAAATCAAATTTTCAAGATAGCCATCACAAGACAGGAAGTCACTGATGTATTGCTTGTGCACTAGAATGGTTGTCAGCATATTTAGCACCGTGGTGTGTCAGTAGGGATAACCGTGAATTCAACTCCACACTAATGAGACCCACACCATCTGCACAATAACCTTCCTGCTTTTCTGTGTGTTTGAAACGTTAATGATGCTACCTCAAACATGGCCCAGATTTCTCCCCTTTTATGAATCTCCTAGGTTTTTGGCCGCCACTACTTCTTATAGGATAACTGCAGGTAGTGCGTTTAAGGACGCTGGAATAGAGTTACACAAGAGGCCATCCCTGCTGTTCGTGATCCACTTAATTGCCAGCTCTGCTAGATCACCCATCAGGCAACCACAAAACTTTTCTAAAGAAACAGAGTCACAATCAAGAGGGCAGATTGGACTGTTGCCAGCATGTGGCTGCATTTTGCTGCCTTTCAGTGCCAATGGAGTCATTTTCAGGCTTGCAAAGGCAAATAGGTCTTAGGCACCGTCATCCCTTATTCCACAGTGAGCAGTTTCTTCAGACACTAGGGGAGTACGAACATGCAAGCAGAGAATGCTGGCAATTTAT